CAACTCACAGTAGCCCAGCTCCAGGTCAAGCTGTTGTTCACCATCTTAGCTGTAGAGGGCACAGGGTCACTGGCCCTAATGTGGGATCTGAACCAGGGCCCTGCTGCTCAGAGCTGGCGTCCCAAGCCAACTTTTAACCAACATGCCACTCGTCTGGCCATATGGCCTTTGCTTTAAAATCTGTTTTGTTTGATATAAGTATTACTATCATAGCTTTTTATTTGTTTTATTTCCATTTGCATGTAGTATTTTTTTTCCATCCCTTTACTTTCTTTTTTTTAATTTAAAAAAATGTTTTATTATTATTAGTTTCAGGTGTACAGAACAATGCAATAGTTATTCTTTTAACCCCTCACAAAGTAACAAACCCCCTCCCCCATCCAATGCCCTCCCACCCCCGATATCATACTTATCTATTACAATTCCACTGACTTCATTCCCACACTGTACTCCATGCCCCGTGACTATATGTACATATAATTACAATTCCACTGACTTCATTCCCACACTCTACTCCATGCCCCGTGACTATATGTACATATAATTATAGTTGACATACAATATTATTCAACATCAGCTTCAGAAATACAGTGCCGTGGTCAGGCCTCTACACCATCTATGAAGTGGTCTCCCTAACAAGACATGAGTCCATCTGGCCTCCTAGAAAATATTTACAACATTATTGATTATATTTCCTAGACTGTCTTTTCTACCACTGAGGCCATATTGTAGTTACCAATTTGTATTGTCTCGTCCCTTCCACCTCTCCTTCATCCCCATCCCCTCCCAACTAGCAACCCTCAGTTTTTCCTCTGTGTCCCTGAGGCTATTCATCCCTTTACTTTCAATCTGCCTGTGTCTTTCAATCTGAAGTGTGTCTATTGTAGGCAGTATTGTATAGGCATTTTTTTATCCATTCAGCTACCTTATGTCTGTTTATTGGAACATTTAATACATTTATTTTAAAGTGATTATTGATAGGTATGTAGCTATTGCCATTTTGTTATTCATATTTATGTTCTTTTTATCCCCTTCTTCCACTTAAAGAAGTTCCTTTAACATTTCTTGTAATATTGGTTTTGTGTTGGTGAATTCCTTTAGCTTTTTCTTGTCTGGGGAGCTCTTTATCTCTTCAATTTTAAGTGATAGCCTTGCTGGGTAGGGTAGTCTTGGTTGTAGGTGCTTCCTTTTCATCGCTTTGAAAATTTTGTGTCAGTCCCTTCTGGCCTGCAAAGTTTGTGTTGAGAAATCTTTTGACAGTCTTACGGGAGCTTCCTTGTACATAACTGACTGCTTTCCTCTTGTTCCTTTTAAGTCTCTCTTTGTCTTTAACCTTTGGCATTTCAATTATGATGTGTCTTGGTGTGGGCCTCTTTAGGTTCACCTTAATTTGGGACTCTCTGTGTTTCCTGAACTCATATGTCTATTTCCTTTGCCAACTTAGGAAGTTTCCAGCCTTCAAATAGGCTCTCAATCCCTTGCTCTCTGTCTTCTCCTTCTGGTATGGGGTTGAAGATTTTAAAATGCCTTTGATTACTTCAAGGACTTGTATACATTCCTTTTCAGATAACCTTTTGTCATTGTACCAGGAGACTTATCCATACTTACAGCCATCTGACAGGGTTTTCTCCAATTCTTAAATATAAGGGAACTTTCTTCTTATCCCAGCTCACTTCTTCATCTGTTCCCTTAAATTTATCTCCTGCCTCATTCATACAGAGATGGTTCCATTTACTACATTTTCTTTTCTGTATCATCAATTTCTCTTCTGCACTGGCTCATTTTTCTCCCTTTTAAAGAAACTCAAGTGTCTCCCATTTGAAAACTACCCTACCTTGACATTGTATCTCCCATCTGACACTGTACAGTCTCCCACCCCTCATCTCATGTAAATTTCTCTTACTCTATTCTTACTTCTCTTTTCCTATAATATTAACTGTATTCTATTCCTTCATTTAACTTTTACTCCTCAATTCTCTGTGATTTGCTTTCAACATTCCATTCTTTGGAAACTACTCTTGGAGATTATGAACCATCATTTAATTGCCTATTCCATCTTACATTGCCCAATTTGCAGCTTAGAGGCTTCTCTTGTGTATGATGTCTTGCTCTGTGTGCTTGGTGTAGGTAACGCCATTTTCTCCCAGCTGCCCTCCTCTGTCTGTAGCCATTTATGCCCTGCCTCATTTTTTAAGTATTGGTGAACTCCAGGCTTTTGACTTTTGCTCAGTGTTCTTCTTGTTTACACATTCTTTTTCAGTGCTGTTATCTAGCTCCAGCCCTTTCCTCCATGACTCCCACTGCATATCTTTCGGCCACACTTTTCTTCAAGTTTCTCTAGGTAAGCTTGTTGGATATTTGGGACATTTAGATGTCCCAAACACTCCTCCTACTCAATATGTTCCAAATTAACTTATCAGTTTTCTCCACTAGAATTTAGACTCACTCTTTCACCAGTATTTTTTTTTTTTTTAGAAATTCAAAAGTACCAAAATTTATAGAGTAATTCAGCAATTGTTAGCATATCTGAGTGGCAAAAATATACTCTTTAGGTCCAGGTTCAGGGATAGAATAGTGTTATTCCTGTTCCCAGCTTTATATAAAAAGAGTAGATCTGGCTTCCTTTTTTACCCAGAAAGTCCTTATAACTATTGACTCTGGATAGATATTAAAACCCCAGCCTTTAATTAAGGAATGTTTTATTCATTCCCTCCTCTGTCTTAACCTTATCTAATCTCCTCCCTCAATCCTCACCCTAAGCTTCATGAACGACATTCTGGCTCCTGGAGATTTAAAGAAATAATTAAAATATCGTTACCCAGAATTTCTATGTTTTTGAAGTGTACGTGTATGAAAAGCCGATGTGGAGCGAAGGGAGGTATTCTTGTGTCTGCTTTGCTTACAATTACCGACTTACATGGAAATACCAATAGGTACACAGTTTCACACAAACTCTTCTCTGTCCCTTTGTGTTGTAGATCCTTTATTCTTATGGTAATCAGAGTTAAAATTCAATTAGTAATAAGAGTAGTAACTGACATGAAGTAGCCTACAGGCATGAAGAACCAAAAATGAAAGCAGCAGTCATGACTTTGAAATACTGACTAATCTATTGATTTTACTTGTTAAAATTAGTTTTATTGAAGAATAATTTATATTCAACAAAATGAACTCATTTCAAGTATGGATTCCAATGAGTTTCCAACTCATTTATTCATCACACTAATCAAAATAAGAAACGTTTTAACGTACCCCAAATTTCCCTTATGCTCTATATTAGTTTGCTAGGGATGCCATAGCAAAGACTACAAATTGGATACCTTAAACAGAGAGACAACTAAAATTTATTGTGTCACAGTTCTGGAGAAGTATAAGATAAGGCATTGGAGAAGTTTGTTTCTTCTGAGGGTTGTGAGGAAGAATCTGTTCCATGTCTCTCCTAGCTTCTGTTGGTTCAATGGCAATCTCTGGTGTTCTTTGTCTTATAGATGCATCACCTGATCTTTGCCTTTACTTCATATATCATTCCGTTTGTGTGCCTGTCTGTCTCTGTGTCCTAGTTTCCCTCTTTTACAAGGACGTTGATCATACTGGATTTGAACCTACTCCAATGGTCTCATCTTAACTTTACTATATTTGCAAAGATGGCATTTCCAAATAAAGTCACATTCTGAGGCACTGGGGTGGTTAACACTTAAACATATCTTCCACTATCACTCTCCTTTCCTGAGAGCATTCCCCAACACACTACATGAAAAATAATTCCTGTTTAGCCATTTCTTCTAAGAATGTATTTATTGGACTGCATGGCCCAACAAATTCAATGGTGCTAGAGGTAACATTGTAGGATACAGATGCTGTGCAAAGTCTCTGGAAAGCCCCCATAAAGGAGTCACAGAGCAGCCCTCTAAGATTCTGAGGAAAGTAATATGTTCTGAGGTAACAGATGACTTACTGTTCAAAAAGCTGCTTGTGGTGTGCTACTGTGCCCTAGTAGAGATTGAAAGTCTAATGAACGGACTTTATGTGACTATGCCACCAGAGGTGTCCATCATGTTCAGGGTGTTAACACATCTTCTGAAGTCAGAATGTCAGGCAGGTGCAACAGGGGTCCTTTTATGATAGAAATGTTGAAGCAAATTCAGAAGGCAGAAGAAAATTGCATGAACAGGGGGGTCAGATTCTCATGTCATCTGTCTCAGAAAACATTTATGGTTTTTGTGTGGCTTCTTTCAACAACCAACAGTGCTCTCAACATGTCACTGCTAGGCAAAGTGAATCATCGCTGCATTACAACCATCTCAGAGGTGGTCATGAAAAGAAAGTTATGAAGGGAAATCTTCCCAGTAGGCAGAGGTACAAGACATGCACATGTATATTCATAGTGTATGAATGAAGAATTGATCTGAGGTGTAGCTATACATAAACTAATGAGCCATGTTGACTAGCTTGGTTATTTAAGGATCTTGAAAGAGTAAGATTAGATAACCAAAAACAAAGAAATTTGAGGAAGAGACATGTGGCTAGACTTACGGGAGTGGGCACAAAGACTGGGAATCTTTGTGTTGCATGTTCTACCAGCATCTACCTCAGGGGAATCACTAAATATTGGCTGCATAGAATGACTCATCTTGTGCACATTAACCAGTCTTTTTCCTTGGTTATTCTAGTACATATATATATATATATATTCTAGTACATATATATATATACATATATATATATATATATATATATATATATATATATATATATATATAATATGCCTGTAAACAGCATAGTAATCATGGCCAGCGAGAGGCTGCCTGTCACTAAGGATGATCATGTCTGACTGCCCTCCTGCCAGCAGAGAAGGACACTAAGCTCTTGATTTCATATCATCCCTCAAAGAGGTCAGGTAGCCACTCCGGGGCTTGTTGATTATATCAGACCAATTCAACCTTGAAATTGTTAAACCATATTCCATATTTCACATATGGGTTTGCTTTCTTTATCTGCAGTGCCTCTACCAACACTATTTTTTGAGGGATTTGGGTGCCGGACTTACCAATATCAGATCTGCATAACATTCCTTCAGACCACAGGAAACTTGTTCTTATAAAGAAGGTATGACTATGGGTACATGATCCATGTGATCCACTACTATGACTTACCCATGATGTGGAAAAAACTTGCCTAATGGATAGAGTGGCATATTAAAAGCTTAAGTATCACACTCCACAAGGTACAGGGTCTGTTCTCAAGAATGCAGTTTATACATTGAACTAATGATCAACATTTTGTGCTATGTATTTACTAGTTTAATTACATGGATTTGGGAACTAAGTGTGGTAGGATTGGCTCCCTCACTATCTCTTTGAGTGACCCACTTATAGGATTTGTGTTTTTCGTCTATGCAATCTTAGTATCTGCTCAATTAAAGAAAGTCCTCATTCTCAGGGCTGGTAAAGTAATGCTTGTACCAGGGGATATAGTAATGAATCCACTGCGCCTGAAGATATGGCTCCACTTGAACATTTTTGGCTCCTTGTGTTATTGAAACACCAAAAAACAGGAATGACCAGAATAGGGGGAGATCTGAATTTCTGTTTTTTTTCCTTTTAGTTCAATCTCTTTTTTATTATTAGTTTCAGGTGTACAAAAACAATATAATGTAGACATTTATACTTCTCACAAAGTGATAACACCTCCCCCCACATCAACTAACCCTCTGATATCATGCATAGCTATTACAATACCATTGACTATATTCCCTATGCTATACTTTACATATCATGACTATATATGTATATATATTTGACATTCAATATTATTTTATATTAGTTTCAGGTGTACAGTGCAGTGGTTAGACATTTATATAATCTATGAAGTGCTCCCCCAGTAAGTCCAGTACCCATCTGACACCCTATTCAGTCTTTACAACATTATTGATTATATTCCCCATACTGTATTTCACATCCCCATGACTCTTTGGTGACTACCAATTTGTACTTTCTAATACCTTCACTTTCTCACCCATTCCCCCACCCCTCCTCCCATCTAGAAACCATCAGTTTTTCCTCTGTACCTATGAGTCTATTTCTGTTTTGTTTGCTAGTTTATTCTGTTCTTTAGATTCCACACATAAATGAGATCATATGGTATTTGTCTTTCTCAGTCTGACTTATTTCACTTAGCATAATATCTTCTAGGTCCATCCATGTAATTGCAAATGGTAAGATTTCATTCATTTTTTTATACTCCTTTGGATATATAAATGTACCACAATTTCTTTATCCAGTCACCTATTAATGGGCATTTTGGTTGTTTCCATATGGGAGATCTTAATTTCAATGGGCTTTATCATTATATCTTAGTAAAGATCCAGGGTTATTGCTACACAAATGAGGAGAGATAAAAATATATGTCTAAAATCAGGGAACTCATCAAGTTTTTTTGTGATACCTTTAAACTCAATGATAACCATACATTAAAAATTGTAGCAACAACAGCCCAAATGGGTAAAGCACCTGAGGACTCTGATCTTCAGGGTTGAAGGTCTGGGTCACCCAATCGTACAAGCAAATTAGACCAACTTAAGTGCTGATTAAGGGGAAAACAGTCCTGAATGAGTAACAAAATAGTTAAATAAAATAATTGTGCATATGCTCTTGTTTTGTGCTCTGATTTTGGGTGAGCATAGGCTAAGGCTCTTACAAATTGATGAAACCTACAGAAGGTCAGGCTAATGGAATTCACTTCTCTGCATTCTTTTACTTTTTTACCCTCATCATTCTTGTTTTGTTCCTTTTTGTGAACTTTTCTTTTAGGTTCTACATTATTCTGCATCCATTGCCAGCTTCTCATATCAGTGTTGGCATGTTTATCGGAAAACACTCTGAACCTTTGTAAAATTTTTAACTTATGAAATATATAAAGCATATAACAAAGTATAGAGAATAATATTGCAAACATCCATTGTACCCACTAAGTAAAATGTTAGAGATTCAGAAATTAAAGCCATTTCTTAATGCTTCTAAGAACCACTGTCCTTGTCCCTCAGAGATAACCACCATGCTGAAACTGGTGTAAATATGTGTGTGTATATATACATACATTTCCATAGGCATGTATTCATAAATGGTATATAGAGAACTTTATGCATTTTAAAAATTAAATAATTATATCACATGATATATATTTTCCCTGTAATTTATTTTATTTTATTTATTTATTTTTTTTAATTGGGGAATTGGGGGGATGGGAACAGCGCTGGGGAATTGGGGGAAAGGAAACAGACAAGTTGTTATTGTTTTGTTTTTCAATCTAGTTGTGGAGGACGTTGCTTCACTGGCCCAAGTTGGCACTATCATTGTGTTCTTCCCGGGCGAGGCAGATCAGTCGCCGGCATCTGGACAGCCGCTCACTGCAGCTGCTGGCTACACACGGTAGCCCATGGCAACACACTGCCACAGGGGCTGCAGCCTATGCTGTCGCAGGCGACTCAGGGCAGCCCAGCTCCAGGTTGAGCTGTTGTTCAGCATCTTAGCTGTAGAGGGCAGCATCACTGGCCCTCATATGTGGGATCCGAACCGGGGCCCTCTGGCGTCCCAAACCAGTTCTTAACCATCGCGTCACTTGGCTGGCCCCTGTAATTTATTTTTTATTCAACATGTTTTTGGGGTATATTTTTGTTGGTTAATCTGAAATTTTTTTTAAGTCCAGAGGTGTTTTCTTTTCTTTTCTTTTTTTACCATTATTTTAATTGTTTCTGTTCTAAGATCATCAACTCTTTGTATAATTCTACAATAAGATGTTCCATTTTCATTAGTAGAGCTTCTTTTAATTCTGGAACAAAAGAGACTCACTCTATTTCAGTCTAAGACATGCATCACAAAATGAATGGCTGCAGAGAAGAATGACTTGTTTTCTCTTTTCTGTAGTATTGCGGTGCTGGTTTTTAGGAAAATTCTGGATGTCAGCTTTGCAAGAGAATAAATTCCAGGTTGAAGCCCAGGAAACTTAACAGTAATTATTGACTTTGTTACCCAATTGCTTGCCAATTATTATTGTGGATAAATTAGTTCTGCTTGTTTCTGTCCTCTTTTTTCAACAGAATAGCATTCTCATTTCTAGAAAATATATTGTGTTGGAAAGCAATAAAAAAATAAGCAAAGGATGAACAAGCCTTCATTGGGTAACTGGGAAATAACTCTAAAATTCTTATAGAGGCTACCAGGGTAATTGAAAAGGATCAATAAGCCCACTTAACATCAAACAACAGTGTCTTTGTTAAACATAACTATACCATGGAGACATTATGCTATGTCCCTTCTTCCATGTATATATGGAAGAAAGATACACACACACACACACACACACATGGTTTTGGAAGTCTAATAAAGTCCTTATAAACACTACTACTCTCTAAAGATTTAAATCCACATCAATTTTTGAAGTTTTTATTTCTCCTCCCTAGCTTAGTACCAAGAGTCCCCTCTCTACTGACTCTCATGGTCTTTAGTAACCTTCCAAGGAAGTTTTTGTGTTTTAGGCCTCAGAGCAAGTGGTAGCTGGTAAGCAGTTACCTCTCTAGTTTATAGCCCATTGACTTTCTAACAGAGATGACCAGGCTTTCTTAAATACACTTAATTCTGTCAATCACATAGCAGTGAACAATATAGCCAGGAGTAATTTAGATGTAAACCAAAGTAGTATAAAAGTAACTAATAGAGTTTTATGAGCTCTCCTTGCTTATTTCATTTTGGTACTATTGCATAAATAGTGACAAGGATAACTCTGGATTTTGAATGAATTGGACTCCGGGAGGTGGAACATTGTCAATATCATACAAAGACTGTATTTACTTTGTTCTTTGGGTATGTAGGGGTCATATATCTTATATGTTTTAGTTCATAGATTTCCAGATGAAGAGTAGGTACATCCAAAGACCTGCATTTGGATTTGATGTAAATCATTAAATATGTTCCATCTTGGCTTATTTTATTTAGTAAGGTGAATTTAAGTTTCTTCCATGTTTTTTCATGGCTGAATAGCTCATTTCTTTTTAGCACTGAATGATATTCCATTGTCTCAATACAACACAGTTTATTTATCCCTCCACCTACTGAAAGATATCTTGGTTGCTTTCAAGTTCTGGAGATGATGAATAAAGCTCTTATAAACATCTGTGTGCAGGTTTTTGTGTGAACATACATTTGCATTCCTTTGGAAACACCAGCGTGCAACGCCTGGATCTTATGGTAAGAAAATGTTTAGCTATGTTAGAAACCACCAAACTGTCTTCCAAAGTGGCTGTACCATTTTTCATTCCTATCAGAAATGAATAAGAGTTCCTGTTGCTTTACATCCTCACCAGCATGTGGTGTTGTCAGTGTTTTGGGATTTGGCCATTCTGGTAGGCATGTGGTAGGATCTCCTTGCTGTTTTAATTCAAAATTCCCTGATGACATATTACATGGAGCATCTTCTCATATGCTTGTTTTCCATCTATGTATCATTTTTTCTACTAATATTTTTATTTTGAAAGGGATCATTATATTTAAAAACTACTGACATAGGCAATATTACTAAGATGTTAGTGTTAGTGCCCACATTTCAATTACTTAATTCATGAGTCAGAAAGGTGCTAGTGTTAGAGGGATGAAACCAACAGTGGGCATGGGGGACAGTTTATCATGTACTGGGGACATGTTAAGTGCTTTCATGGAACAATGGTAAGATACAGGTTCATTGTTCTTCCTCCCTCCTGGGAGGGGTCTCTTAGTCATATGGAGGAAACGGATTTCATAGTGTATATAACTAGTATAATAGTGTAAGGACATTCTGAAGAAGACCACCACTATTAACATGACAAATGCTTATTTAATGCCATAGAACATTTTTACTGTGAAGTTGCCTAAGTCTCCATCAGTGATGCATAGGATCTGAAGGGCCTGCCCTTGACTTTCAGAAGTGAATCTTAAGAGCTCATATCCTAGCAGTGATGTTAGTGGAAGCAGAAAGTGCACATGAAGATTGGAGAGGGAAAAAGGCTAGGAAGAAGCAGAAATTCATAAGTTCCAGGCTGAGATT